TGCTTTGTCCAACATAACATTTGCTACTGATGGCAATATAACAATGTTGCCTCCTTCACCTATACCATCTGTGGCCAGTGCACGCAAAGGGGGTAGGTTCATTTCGTATTCTCTGTTAAATACAATTTTTAGTCAAAGTTTTACAGTACGGTATGGTAGTTAAGCTTCCTTAAATATTCTTTTTGCTGCTAATTGAGGGTGCATAATTATTGTTCATAGAGTGGGCATGAGGAGACAAACATTATCAAAATGAAAGAAGAAAATGTATCTAGCATTTAAAGCACGCAAAAGTTAAGGAAAGGCTAGCAACTTGTGCTGACAGTAGGTGATAAAAATGGAAAGCATGCATTTTTTTTCACCAGTACGCCCATTTTGAAAGAGTCAAAGCTGTAAAGGTTATGACAACCACTGTCCTTGTAGAATAAAGTCTCAGAAAATTTTAACTATGGGTGAGACCATCTGTTGCCACTGCAATGTTCACTTAATAACTCCAACTCCCATTTGCTGAATTTAACTGATTTTTTTCCAACTTTATTCTTTTAGGAAAACTGTGTATGTCTCCTAATGTAAAAGTTCAACAGAAAGGCAAAAAGCACATTATCTATATGCCTCACCCTGAAGCTGTGTAAGTGAATTTAGATTTTTTAAATTATTGAAAGCTGTTTACGATATTTTATTATTTCGATAGCTATTTAAAAAATACATCCCAAAAGGGCATCGAACATGAAATTTAAAAAAAATTGGAATATTAATGCAACAGTTAATAGTTGAAAACGTCACTGTCGGTGGAATTTTAGTGATGTCTTGTCAAAGCTTTAAATTTAAATATATTATTTTGCAGAGACCCAAAGCCTGTGAAATGGAACATACAATCTCCAGTAAGTTTTATTGATTTTGTGGGGTAACTTATGCAAACAAAATTTTGCATATTAGAGTAAATAAAAGTGAACATTTAATTATTTTAAGTAAAGTACTAAAATTCAACACTGTTTTAGTTCACTAACTTTAAAGAAAAGATAAGCAGTTTTCTAATTTGTTTCTTGGTTGCTGAAAATTGTCAGTTTGCAAAACTTCGCATGGTCTTTCAATTTCATTTAAGCTTAGAAATGAAAATGTTGAAACAAACCCATTTAGAATCAATTGAACATTGAAACAACCTTAATACAGTTATTTTGATGCTTTAAGTTAGAAGATGATTATAAATTGGATTTTAAAATTAATATTACTAATGGAAGTTGACAATAACTTTGGAGATGACAGTGATCTCATGTAAATCTGCGGATGTTCAACTTAAAATATATGATTTTGTAGCTGTAGCCTAAACCTTAGCATTTGGGGCTTAAAATGCTTTAATAAAAATCAGTCATGCTGGTGTGGGTTAATACTTATACTTGGTACCGTAATTTAATTTTGAAAAGATACAGACCCAGTCTCATGCTTTCAGTATCGCTGTTTTATTTTTATACATTTAAAATAAATTAATGGTACGTTAAAAAAATTTCAGACTGCCAAAAGACAGGATGTAACAAGTAGTGGTGACAGCACACCTTCAAGGAAGGCTCATAACAAGTCTCAAGCAGGAATCAGAAGGAGCTCTAGACCTAGGAATCGGGAAGAGCTCTAGACCCAGGAATCGGGAAGAGCTCTACACACAAACAAACTTTAAAATAGCTTTACATCCTTGGTTAAATTCTCAGTGGTGTTAAGTAAATTTCAAATATTTTTAAGGAAGTGAAGACAGAATCTAATTATTTATTTCTGTGATTGATCCATCTGGAAAACTCTGAAAGAACAGATGTACTTGAACTTGTTCCAATTGGCTAAACTAAAGGCTGGTAGCTCTTGTGCTAATCTTATAATTACTACTAATTTAACCCTTATTTTACTGCTAATACTACTACTGCTAATGTATTAAATTTTAATTCACAAGTAAATGTACATTTAATTAATAAGTCGATACTTTTAGGTAATATTCCTATCACTATATCAGGTTTTTTTTAATTAATGGATAATAAATCATTAAATGTATCTTTTTTTTATTTTTTTTTGGTTCAAATTTTGTTGTAGCTTCAGTCTCATGCAGAGATTTCTTCATAATGGTTATTGAATAAAATGTTTAGCCTTAGCATTGTCTGTGTTTAATAATTATTATCGGTTTTATTTAAATATTTATATAAATAATATATCAAAGTATGTCTAACAATTTTTTTGTTGGATAAGTTTTTAATTAGACATGGCACACTGCTAAGTGCATTGGATTACAGTTGATTCTCTAAACTGTAAGTCGGTATGATTGCTAGTAAAGGTTTATTGTAAATCCCTTACTTTTATAATTTATAGTGCATAATTTTTTACAAACATCAGTCAGTGCTTCTAAATTGTCTCATTCAAACTGCCATGCACAATTTTCATTTTTAAACTCGTTTTCATTTTCATTCACTTATGAATTATAATTGGATTAACCTTAGCCCCTAAAAACTGTTAGATCGTCAGTTAAACCTATTTCTTTGGTGTCAAGGCCTATATAAATTATAATCGGCTAAATTTTTCACTTAAAATAAATGAATTATATTAAATTATAAAGCAGCATTAATTCAACACTTAAAAACTAAGATTTTCATATAAATCCTTCACATTTGTGCATATTTATAATTTATATATCAAGAAAGTGTGTATGTATATTTTTCATGTGACCTTTATTTTCCCCTTCAATAATAATACATTTTATTGCAATGCTATGCAATTAATCTCCATATCAAAACACGTCTTGTCTTCTCTCCCCACTTGTAAATCTGAATTTAGGGAATGGGGCTAAAAATTTGATAGAAGTTAGAAGAATGTGCCGTCGTAATCGTAAGCAACGGATCTATGTGCCAACTTTCATCTCGATAGGACGGGAAATTTGTGAATTAGCATTCCAAAGATTTTGCCCCGAACAAAAGTAAGTTATATTAATATTACCGGGTAATATAAATTAAAGGATTTTTAAAATGCGTATATATGTTGAGGGGAAATCAATCTATACAAATGTGTTTACTTCCTATTTATGTTTTTTGGCTTATTTTAGTACAGTACCGTAAAAAATATCCGGTGTGAAATTTGCTAAATTTTTCTTACTCAGTAAGTTACTGCCACCATAAAAAATGTCTGAAGGAAGAGGGGTCGTCGTCCCCCTCCCCCCCCCTTCTTTAGAATGCAATATCAACACTTTCTTTATTGAAATTATTTCAAATACTGGTAGGGTACTTGAAATAGATTAAAGTGAAAGCAATGCATTTCAGAGATACTGGGTATTCTATGTGCTAATAAAATAGCCTAAAATAATAATTGCGACAGTATTAGGATTAATTAGCGGTGATGGCAACATGAGGATCAGATAATGACATTAGCTCCACAGACTTACTAATTCGTATTGGAAAGGGTGGGAATCGAAAGAATCCCAAAGATCTACCCTGAGGAGATTCAAAACAAAGACATTAAGAAATTTTTTAACTCATTTTGCCTTCCCCTTTAACAAACATTAAGGTGCGTGTAGGCGTAGGGAATGAAAAAAAATTCATTTCTTCAAGAACCTACTATAACTTGATATTTTCTGAAAGAATATGTGCATTGCTTATACTTGTAGTTTTAGTTAAGTTATAGTCCCCCCCAAAAATTGATTTTGGGTAGTTAGAACAATTGGAGTATCTCGATACCGGGAACAATTGGAGTATCTCGATACCGGTGTTTGTTAGGGTGAATTGAGAAGTTAAGTACAAGTATTTACTCTGTATCTCAACTTAATAGTTTTATAACAAATTCTTTTCATGCTGGAAGATACCTTGTCAAATGTACTTCCAGAAAATTACTTGTACCCGGTTGTAGGGTCTCTGAATTCATTAAGTTTAAGTGCCGGCATGGGATTTAGTCATCTTTGATTAGCTTATGAAAATGCTATAAATTATAAATGCCCTTGATACAGTTATAGTATAGTAAAAGGTTATCCAATATGATGCATCACCATACATTTTATTTATAATTTATCTTTCCTTTGAATTTGGAGCATTTGCTTGATTCTATTAAGGAAATTTAGCTTTAACTTTAACACACCCACATTCTAGATTACTGTTTTACAACATATTGGTGTCTGAAGTTTCTCACTAATAGAAGTTGGAAATATCAGCTTCAAAACTACTCTTATGTTGCACTTGATCAGATTACAGGTGAATTTGGACCATTATCTTGAATTGCAGAAATGCATCCACTACTGTGTTACAGTATTCAATTATAATTATTCCAACAAAAAAATTATAACAAATGTCATTTAGTCTAAGTGTCAATTTTTTCACTCCAAATTGAAAATGTATTTTGAAGTGAACTACCAGCACCTACGTACATGAACTAAAAGCAACAATTGCTATTGAATTACAGCCCATAAATCTAATAAAAGTTGTACAATCGTGCAGTGATTATTATTTTGCACATTAGCTTAGAAGTTTTGCCGGAGACAATGTCCAAAAACAATCACAAATGGTTTTAGATCAAAATTCGGTGACTGACTTTGTGATCAGAAGTTTATGTGCATGTATGTTGAAGCATGCAACCACAGCAATTTCCCATAACTTGGTTCAACTTTCAAGGCACTATTAAGTTCACCAGTTTATACCATTATAGTTGTATACAAGTATGGACATTGAGTTTGAAATATTAAAAAAATTTCTGAAGCATAATATTCATAAAAAGCTTCCACCCCATAACTGAAGAGTTATTGCTTTCATAATGGCATTGACTTCACAATATTTATTGCTTATGAAATAAAATCAAAAGACTCTTTATGATACTTTATGAGGTGATAAGGCATACAAAGAGCATGCAACCCTGTTTTGATTGACAGTGTATACTATTACCAGCATGTTGTGGGCAAGGTTTCAGTCAGCTTGTTGATTTATTGTGCACACGTTATGCTAACTAACAGGATTGAATTCAAACCATCATCTGTTTGTATGAAATTTAAAAAATGCCCTGAATCCTAATTAAAATAAAAGCATACAAAATTTAACAACAAAATAGACAAAAATAAAATAAGACATTGGAAGTAACATTAATATTTTAATTTGCAGTATTAAGAAGTGAGGACACAAGCACCACCAACTTCCTTGATTCGTTTTTCTGCAACTTTACTGAAAAATTTAGCCTTGATAATGACTGGGCGCTTGGGAAGGTGACCTTTTCCAAGAACTTTGTAATAACCCTGAAATAAAAATACATAAAGCATTAAAAGAAATATTACAACTGCACCTGAAACTGTTCAAAATAACGGAGAAAGCAAACAATAATAAACAAAACAGTGTTAAGCAATCCAAATAAGATTGATGTAAGGCAACAAACTGGTTCCAAGATCCCTTTTGAGGTTTATCATGATCTAACGTAGTTCATGAAGACTAATGCAGATCTACTATCGCTTATGTTTTCTATTCACAACCAACTCTTCCCACTACTCATTTTTATTAACAGGCCCGAGTGGGGGGAAAAAAGCTGCCATGCAGCAAGCCTCACCCATGACGGTAATTAGAGTTTTTTTTTTAAGGTGACTATTATATTAATCAATAAAGAGCCACGGGTACCATATAGTGTAGGACTGTCTATAGGTCTATTATTTAAAGTCCTGGCAGATAGGGTGGAGTAGTGTCTGTAGGCCTATGGTTTAAAGAAAATGAGAATTTAACCCTTTTTCTACCCACCAGGTATTTTCTCTAAATACATGGACCCGGTGTGTAAAAAAAACTGCACCAGGTTGTTAAGCCCTAATAACCATCAATTATGTTCTGGTCTTTTACTTATCTTTGTGTGAACTTTTAAAGTTTCAGTATCCTACATATATTTGTTATACAATTTAATTCCATCTTTTTCTTAAACATAATGGACAGAAGGCAAATGATTAACTTCAAGGTAAGGGACATTCATGTTTTAATTAATAAACTAGGCTTATACCAGTACAATTTAAAAAATATTTCTTATAAAGGAATATACTCACAGCCTGTCCAATATCAATTACAGGTGCTTTTTCACTTGGTTTATCCAGATATTTTTCCCTTGACTGCACACTGAGTAGTGACCACAGTTTGTCCAGATTAATTGATGGACAGAAAAATTTGTTATTGGTCTTGTGAAAGTAACGCATACCAACTTTACCAAAGTAACCAGGATGGCTGTGGAAAAATGAAATATTTAGACAACCGTAAAACTGCATTAATAAATTCACTGTCTCCTACCTAACAGATGTACTAATAACCTGGAAGGAAACAACTCTTATTGTAATTTTTAATTGCTAGATAACAAAATTGACAATAAATAATAAATCAGGCACCTTAAGTTGTACATAGAACAACTTACTATTTGTCAAAGTTTATTCTGTGATGGTGCTGACCACCAGCATTACCACGACCACCAGGATGCTTGCGGTGTTTGCCTGTGGGAATAAATTCATTTGTTAAATACAACTAACTATAAGTTTTTTAAGACGGTAGTAAAAAAAAAATCACAAGCTCTCTCCAAAGTCTAATTCAAGTTCCACTTCTGTTATAACAACATGGACTATAACCTTAAAGAATTAGTTATACCTCACACTAATTTCTAAAATAATGTATACCAGTAATACAAAATAGGCCTGTTAAGGAAAATGAATTAAATTGTAATTCCATATGATATGCAATTTGAACAACATAATTTCATTTTAATTTAGAACATCCAGACACAAGATTTAAGCTATGGCTATGGGATAAAAAATTGATCAACAATTCTACAAGCCTAGCCCTAAAAATTATCAGCAAACCTAACCTAAACCTTAAAATTCCATGCCAAAATTCATTTACATAAATTAAAAGTGTAGCAAAACATTTTGACTGATAGTCTTACTCCGACTTATCCCTGCCTATGTAGTGGTGACTGGGACGAGAGGGGCCATGGCCATTTGACATGTTTGTAAGGGTGAACAGCCCTTTAATTACAAAGGTAGACACCGATGGTGTCATTGGAATTAATAATTAATATATTGAAATTTGTGCAGTGATTGTTGCAGAAATGAGGCCATTATTTTATCTGGTGGCAAGTTGAAATTTTCATTATTTTCAATTTAATTTTAATTCTTTTTGTTCATTTTTACACTTTTCATTTGTCCCACTAGTACATGTGGAGAGCCAAGGTTTGGTTATTCTAGAGGGAAAGGAGTGACCGCCCTTCGTTAACACGTTGGCAGTGTACAAAAGGTATTCATGTGTTTTTTAAAAGTGTTTTGTACCACTTTTGAAAATAATGTTTGCGATCTTGGCAACAAAGATGTCGGCCACATCAAAACAAGGTACGCATCACACAGGTACTACATCCTGGCTCATCTTGTCCAAATTTACAGTTTATTATTCATTAGATTGAGTTAAGTCTATCGATAAAGTATACACTTATTAACAATATTTAAGAACATCTTCCCAGACCCATTTAACCTTAAACTCCTAAAATCGTACAATACAGTATCTTAATAGTAAATAAACATGCAGTAGGCTACATATGAGATATAACCACATGCATCACACATCTAACAGGATCGAGTTAAGTGTGCATAAAATATAAGGAACTGAAGATAAAAAGATGACTGACGTTTCTATTGCTATCTGCTGTCATTTTGTATTGTAGACTTGCATCTGCTTAAGGTGTCTAAAAATTAATATTTAAGTAAATGTGCAGATCCCATTATCCCAGTCTGTCATTGGTAAAAAAAGTTACTGGGGAAATATAACGTCGTTCAAACTCGAAGTCAGATCAAAGGCTGCAAATGGGTGAAGGGGAAAAGGGAATATTTAAACACCCCGTTGAAATATAATATTGCTGCGTGTAAAATATANATCCGGTTGGAAAAAACGGATCCGGCACACCCCTAGATATAACCACATGCATCACACATCTAACAGGATCGAGTTAAGTGTGCATAAAATATAAGGAACTGAAGATAAAAAGATGACTGACGTTTCTATTGCTATCTGCTGTCATTTTGTATTGTAGACTTGCATCTGCTTAAGGTGTCTAAAAATTAATATTTAAGTAAATGTGCAGATCCCATTATCCCAGTCTGTCATTGGTAAAAAAAGTTACTGGGGAAATATAACGTCGTTCAAACTCGAAGTCAGATCAAAGGCTGCAAATGGGTGAAGGGGAAAAGGGAATATTTAAACACCCCGTTGAAATATAATATTGCTGCGTGTAAAATATATGGCAATATTGTGATGTGAAATCATACAAAACATTGTGTGCTCCTTTTACAGCATTTGAGATCTAAAAAACAACCTAAAATTAACTTTTTAATTATTTTTAAATCTGATAAAACTATCGGAATATGAATATTTTCAACTTAGTCTCTTATAATTGAAGTTCTAATGGGTCTCTGCGTACAATGGAAAAAGACATCTCAAAATCGTACATTGTACTCCAAATTCATAGTCATAAGAGTAAACAAGTCTGGGCTGATATTAAGGAGGGATGTCACAGCGTCTTTTGTGTGTTATTATAGTTGCAGTGAATTAGGGTTTAGGTTAGGTTGAGGGATCGATTTAGGGTTCAGTTTAGGCATAGGGATCGATTTAGGGTTATTTTTAGGCATAGGGCGGATCAATTTAGGGTTCAGGTTAGGCATAGGGATGGATTTAGGGATACATTCGTGAAATTCGATAAAAATGTGGCATTCGTCCTTAAAATTTACCCAAGTCTGTAAACAGTCTCTAAACAGACTCCTCAGATAACTCATCTTTNAGATATAACCACATGCATCACACATCTAACAGGATCGAGTTAAGTGTGCATAAAATATAAGGAACTGAAGATAAAAAGATGACTGACGTTTCTATTGCTATCTGCTGTCATTTTGTATTGTAGACTTGCATCTGCTTAAGGTGTCTAAAAATTAATATTTAAGTAAATGTGCAGATCCCATTATCCCAGTCTGTCATTGGTAAAAAAAGTTACTGGGGAAATATAACGTCGTTCAAACTCGAAGTCAGATCAAAGGCTGCAAATGGGTGAAGGGGAAAAGGGAATATTTAAACACCCCGTTGAAATATAATATTGCTGCGTGTAAAATATATGGCAATATTGTGATGTGAAATCATACAAAACATTGTGTGCTCCTTTTACAGCATTTGAGATCTAAAAAACAACCTAAAATTAACTTTTTAATTATTTTTAAATCTGATAAAACTATCGGAATATGAATATTTTCAACTTAGTCTCTTATAATTGAAGTTCTAATGGGTCTCTGCGTACAATGGAAAAAGACATCTCAAAATCGTACATTGTACTCCAAATTCATAGTCATAAGAGTAAACAAGTCTGGGCTGATATTAAGGAGGGATGTCACAGCGTCTTTTGTGTGTTATTATAGTTGCAGTGAATTAGGGTTTAGGTTAGGTTGAGGGATCGATTTAGGGTTCAGTTTAGGCATAGGGATCGATTTAGGGTTATTTTTAGGCATAGGGCGGATCAATTTAGGGTTCAGGTTAGGCATAGGGATGGATTTAGGGATACATTCGTGAAATTCGATAAAAATGTGGCATTCGTCCTTAAAATTTACCCAAGTCTGTAAACAGTCTCTAAACAGACTCCTCAGATAACTCATCTTTTAATAAAGGAAAATGCAGAGAACCAACTCAAAATTAAGTGCAGCAAAAATATGCTGTTTTTATTTTATATTCCTATGCACCAAAAAATGTATAACTTACCAACACGGCCATGTCCATGACTTACATGACCACGTAGCTTTCTGGTCTTCTTTGCCTTAGTCGTCTGGAAAAAAATAGCGAAAAATCAGCATTAGCTTTATACTTCAGAAAATACATTGTTTTTCTACCCAATAGATCTTTGGAAATTTTGTTATTTTATATGAAACAGATTTTAATAACGTTCCAAAAAAGAAAGCTATAATTTTAACTTGCTTAAAAATATTATTTATCAAAGATAAATAATCATCTAATGTTAAAAACTAAAGATTAGTAGAGATTTTATTTAGAAGGTATTAACACCCTACCATTTTGATGGATTCAGCAACCGGAAAAGGAAGTGAAAGGGAGATCACTCAATCCTGTTGTTAAACAAACTAACCCAAAATGGAAAGGTAAATTCAGGAAGTTCCCATTCACCAAAACCAAAAATGATTATAATAATGATATAAATGTCCCCAAATTTTCCCTCGTTCACAAAATATAAATTTTGTGTATTTTCGGAACTTTTATTAGACATGCGAATATCATTAAACTAGGTTGTAAAAAACTACTTCTTCCTACGCCTGCACTCTTTATTGCCAATCAAATATTGCTCACGCACACTGCTGGCTACTACTAATAATAAAAATATCATTGAATATCTAAATCTTTACTAACTAAAATAAAAATTATATTTTCAACTCTTGTCAATCACCCAAATTCTAGTCAATCAGTTCAGTGATTACTTTCTATTAATAATTAGTAGTGTGTTACTTACTTCATAATTAATTAGTATACCATATATATATATTTATATATATATATGTTTAACTTTATGGTCATAGTGATGTAGTGGATGTTCCAACTACTTCTTGATTTTTTATCTTGTACTAGTTGCTGTGTTAATTAAGTCTAAGTACCAGCTCTAATTCAAGTAATTTGCCATTAATAAACATTTGTCTTGTTACTTGTACTACGTTGTAAATTTACTAAATAAAAAAAACGCTACAATGTTTACAAAGCTTACACCTCAGCATTTTTTTTTTTAGAAGTTAGTGTAACTTAGACCTTAGCCTAAATCTTATTAAGTCTTAGGCTCAGGTCGGACTCACAAGGTATTATTTCAGGCATCAACTCACTATCTTAACACACAATCACACTCACTGATATGACACTGACAGTTCCTAGTAAGTTTGACACAAAAGTTTGTGTTTGCTACATCCTCAAATTCAAATTGTTTTTGAACTGTAAGAACTAATTAATTAATTATGATATATTCCCAACTAACATGTTTTATCATTTAATTTAAGCCCATTTTTTATCAAAACCATACAAATAATTTCAATTTCTTTTATTTAAACCCCTCGATTATTTAGGCCAGTGATGGGTAGGGCAACACATGCCCTAAGCCTAAGCATATTATGAGTAGACCCCAAAGCCCAATAAGCATAATTCACCATGGATAGAGCTCAAGTCATCCTTCCTCATACATGGCAAGAAGTGTCAGTAACCTGCAGTTATCCCCTTTCCTTATGTATTTTCAGCTGGTAAATTAATTTCGGTTCGAACAGAACGTAGCAACTTTATTGCATCCCTCTAGATACATGGCAAGAAGTGTCAATGAACCTCATTTAACTCCCTTCCCTCCAGTATCACTAAACCTCAGCTCTCCATATTGGGTAGTGACACGCTGTAATGAAAATTGGAAAGTGCTAAAATGAAGAAAAAATTATTATTGTTTCCAAAATATTGCCGGTGACAATGACTTGTCTTTGTCAAAACGCCTGAAACAGGAAGTTTTGATTGCATATTGCCACAATTACTTATTGAGCCCTGGGAATGCGCTCAACTCCCCCCCACCAAGTCACCTCAATTAATTTAATACGGGTACAGATAAGTTAATTGCAAAGTAATAATTGCAAGAAAAAAAAAAGTGCAAAAAACACTTTTTATGTTATCCTGTGAGGTGCACAAAATTCTGATGGGAGCAACCCTAATCACCTCCCCACCCCCCCCCCCCCCAAAAAAAAAACGGATCATGTGGATAGCATACAACTATCACTCTCATAAATAAGTTACACTTTAAACAAAATATGGGCATGTAAGTTTATATTTGGGATCTCAACTTTTTTTTAAGGATTTAACATGAATGTAGAATAAAAAATTTTGTTGACCATTGTTAATTAAAGAGGGTTTTGAGGAGCATTGAAATTGAATGAGAATTTTGAGGAAAATGATAAAAAGGGTATTTAAGGGGGTGGGGGGGATTATGTAAAATGGGATTGTACATTTATTTGCTATGCAAATTAATTGAAAATGTACTTACAGAGCTCTAGAATAGTAAGCATAGGGAAAGCTAACAAGTTGATGAAGAAGCTCCTCAATTACATTTATATCCTAAGAATTTTATTTGATATAATTATTGTGTGGAGGTTAACATTTCAGTGAGATTTAACATACTCAAATAATTGTTTTGTCAGTTATTTATTATTAAATTAATAAATTGTACAAAGTTTGACCAACTTGATTTTAAAAAATGGTAATTAAAAATTATTGTTCAAATTTTTTTTATTTTTTAAATCTAAGCACAAATCCAAACTATTAATAAGAAGGTATGCTTTCCCAAATAGACATTACTTTTTGGGGGTTTTGCCAGCATCTATCTGCTCATAGTAGAGAAAATTTCATGAATGTTACCATATTTAAAAATAGGCTTTACCTACTAAGTTGAAATAGCTAATTTTATAAGTCCTTGGTGTCAGAAATATTGACTGCATTCTAAATCATTACCACAAACACTAAGTTAAATTTCCACAATTGTTTTGATTTTACTCCTCAGCTTTTGGATGAAGATTCCTTCATACAAGTTTGACATCTATACATATTGTTTGCAAGATTAGTTAATTAACAAGTATGCAGTAAAAGCAAACTTTGTGGATCATTTAATCCAGGAGAAAAAGCCTTGCACACAGCTGGGTTATGTCCAGTAGTAACAAAGACATCACCTCACGCCAACTGCCACCAGGCAAATTGAAAGATATCAAGAAAATCTTTGAGGATGGTGAGTGTTATTTAAGAATGAACATTTTATTCTTTAAATGCAAGTTTATTGTTGTTGTTTTTTGTTTTTTTTATGTGATAGATCCACAATGCTGTTAAGTGAAATTCTTCTTTGTCTGATCTTTACTCAAAAGGTGATCATGCATCTAAAGACAAGGCTGAAAGACTTGGACCACCAGCTAGACCACCACCGCCAAGCAGACCAAAATCCCCTGTTCGTGAAACCCCAGCAAAAATGTACCCCGTACTGCCTCAAGAAAGAAAAGCAGAAACTGGGTACAGTCCAGCTGGCCAGCGGACCAGAACTAGTTCACTGGACAGTCCAGCATCAAACCAAAGCTGTGGCCAGCATTTATCAGAGAAACTGTCAACCTCAAGTACACCTCCTCCAAAACCTGCCATCCGCCAGAAACACAATTCAATCGGTGACAACACAATCTCAGAACTAGATAACCCTCTCTACTTTGATTCCCCAGAGAGAGCTAAAGCTTTGAGTGTTATAAATGACATGTATGCTAAAGTTAATAAACCCAACAAGAACAAAGATGGTGCGACAGCAAAGGTGAGTTTCAGCTCTGAAGAGGAGCAGCCCGAGAGAAGAGTGTTTGTGAAACAAAAATTGGCAGAACGCAGAAAAACTGTTGGTTCTGTCATTCCAGACAATCCAGATGAGACAGAAAGCAATGCTGCCGGCAGTCATATTGTCAGCGTTGCTGCGAGAAGTAAGTTGTTTGAGGGGGCAAAAGGTGAGAGACCGACCCCACCTGTAAAGCCAGCCTCAGTTAAAAGGCAGTTCAGCATGAGAACAGCTGAAGAATTTGAGAAGCAGAAGAATGGAACAGATGCATTATACAACCCTCCATGGGACACTACCAAAAGTACAGTAGTAGAAAACCTGAAGAAGCTGCCACCCCCATCACCCAGCAGTTTGACATCAGCCAAAAATGATGGCCATCATGGCCAGGTCCTTAAATCTGGTTCTCCTTCTAAACCGCCTTTGCCAAGTCAGCCTCCTAGAAAAATTGATACAAATGCACACAAAATGGTCAGTGTGGACACTGCAAATGAAGTGCAGAAAAGCGCAGCAACATCTATGCCAGTGGAGTGTGCGCCAGATTCAGGTGCAAAAGCCAAAGCACCAGCCCCACCCAAACCCCCCAGGACACATGCCCATGATGACTACCTCAAGGTGAAGGTACTTCATAATACAGACAGCAATAATAAAACTTCAGTGATGGTAAATTCAGCCAAAAAGAGTTCATCCGAGGAAGTTGAATATCTTTCGGTCAAAGACAGAATTTCAAAAATGCAGCAGCAAAGCGATGGCACACCTCTGCCTCTGCCGGGAACATCTTTTCTAACTGCTGGTAAAGATTATAATGTTGAGCTGCGTCACACGCCACCTTCCAGGCCCCCACCGCCAAAAATGAGACCCAACTCGGGTGGCAGTCTTTCTGTTTGTACCAATACACTTACAAAAGGTCGTCCCTGCACGCAACCGCCGGTTTTTCAAGGGGAAGGCCCGATTATTATTCCTGTTTCTCCGAATCGTCAGCTCACTTCAGACTCCCAGTTCCCTCTCGATAAAGATGTGCGGTCTCGTCATCCTAATGACAGACTGCCGCCCGAGCCTGGCAAGGACAGGTCTCTGCAAAGATTCCCACTCAGGAAGAGTTACAGCTCCGAGTGTCTGTACTCCAGTCGCGCCAGCTCTCTCAATGCTGAGGAGCCTGATATGACACAGAGCAGTTATGAGAGTGAGTATGAGGCTGTACTTGACCCAGACGGCTATGCTATTCCACATGAATTTATGCGACTACCTAGCAGAAGAAAGCATTCAGCTGTCAATAACTTTGTGGTAAGTACCCTCTATGTCCTCCATGCATTATTTTGTTTTACTAAAGAGTATAGTGCATTCATATTCATAATTTTACGAAAATTTGATCGTGTGAACTGGAAAAAAAAAAATTCGACCAAACTGCCTTCCATTCGACCCAACTTCCATTTGATCAAACTTCAGACAGATTTGAGCATACATTTGGCTAGACATAATGGTTGCCAGATTGCACAGAAACAATAATTACTCTTCTGAATGTTGCATGCTTTTTGTATGAATAAAAGATTTATGACATACTATTGAAACTTCTGATATCTTGTCTCTCCTCCCCCTCTCCTCCCGCCTCTCAACCCTAAAACCTAAAACCATTTTTTTTCTTAACTGACAGTCAGTAGAGATCAACCATTTTTTTTTAACCAAGTCGTTAAATTTCGTGGTAATACATTCTACATATTTGTGTGGGTCCTATAGATAAGGAGCCCAAAGTTGGGATGTGGGAAAACAAATAATTAAATTAACTTTGAATGCAGGGGGGGGGGGAGACAACCAAGAAATGGAAGGTTAGCTCTATCAAAGCCACGGCCCTAGGTGTAATGCTGTCAGTGCATTAAAAATTGTTCATCATTTAATGTGTTCTTATCTTGAATAGTTCATCTAGTAGGCCAATATCAAGCAGGCCTATTAACTAGTATGCCAATATCCAGCAGGCCTATTAACTAATATGCCAATATCCAGCAGGCCTATTATCTATATATATATATATATATATATATATATATAGTTATATATAATAACATGTCAATATCCAGCAGGCCTATTATCTAGTTTGCCAATATCGTGCAGGCCTATAATATCCAGCAGGCATATTATCTATATATATATATATATATATATATATATATAGTTATATATAATAACATGTCAATATCCAGCAGGCCTATTATCTAGTTTGCCAATATCGTGCAGGCCTATTAACTAATATGCCAATATCCAGCAGGCCTATTAACAAACATGTCAATATCCAGCAGGCCTATTATCTAGTCTGCCAATATCGTGCAGGCCTATTCTTTTAAAATTGTTTGAATATTTGAGTCTCAAATTGTATTCCATGGTCAAACTCATTTCGCTAAATTGTACTCGTCTATACAGTTGGTAACATTGACATATTTTAGATATGATGAAGTGGTGTAATCAATAACCTGACCTATTTAAATTTCTTGAAAATTTTCAAATGGCGTGTGTGGCAAAACTCGAATTCCGTCCAATATATTTGCACGCTGTGTGAGTACCAAATACTATTTAATTAAGCACATCATTGTTTTTTTGTTGTTTTTTTTTAAAGGCTCTTCATTGTGTTAGATATAATTCTTTTATTTTAAAAGCTAAACTCCCACGGATCAGTTTCAGTGGAGCAGGAGGTAGGCAATTTGTATGCGATGCCGAAAAAGGGGGGGGGGGCAGTAACCCCCACAATTTAATTATTTGGTTGAATGATGGTTGAAGCTGGTAAGGTAGTTTTGCATCTAACATGCAATTTGTATGCGATGCCGAAAAAGGGGGGGGGGGGGCAGTAACCCCCACAATTTAATTATTTGGTTGAATGATGGTTGTAGCTGGTAAGGTAGTTTTGCATCTAACAGCTCTGTATACAAAAACAACTCTTATCTCTGTTGTTGTGCAACTCCTGTAACTGCTGCCTGTGACATCTTCCAGATCAAATGTTGGGTTAACGCTGTGTGGGTCTGTGTGCGTCTGCAAGGTGTTCAACTACATTTCTTCCCCTTTACCCTCTTCATTTGGAATCGTTAAATCCCTGAGAGTTCTCTGCAGTGATGAGGTTTTAAGGTGTTGCTGCCGCAAACAATGTCCTTGCTGTCAAAAGGTGACGTTGTGACTGCCGCAAACAATGTCCTTGCTCTCAAAAGGTAATGTTGTGACTGTCGAAAACAATGTCCTTGCTCTTAAAAGGTAATGTTGTGACTGCCGCACACAATGTCCTTGCTCTCAAAAGGTAATGTTGTGACTGTCGAAAACAATGTCCTTGCTCTCAAAAGGTAATGTTGTGACTGCCGCAAACAATGTCCTTGCTCTCAAAAAGTAACGTTGTGACTGTCTAAAACAATGTCTTTGCTCTCAAAAGGTAATGTTGTGACCGCCGCAAACAATGTCCTTGCTCTCAAAAAGTAACGTTGTGACTGCCGCAAACAATATCCTTGCTCTCAAAAGGTAATGTTGTGACAGCCGCAAACAATGTCCTTGTTCTCAAAAGGTAATGTTGTGACAGCCAAAAACAATGTCCTTGTTCTCAAAAGATAATGTTCTGACAGCCACAAACAATGTCCTTGCTCTCAAAAGGTAATGTTATGACAGCCACAAACAATGTCCTTGCTCTCAAAAGGTAATGTTGTAACAGCCGCAAAGAATGTCCTTGTTCTCAAAAGGTAATGTTGTGACAGCCACAAACAATGTCCTTGTTCTCAAAAGGTAATGTTGTGACAGCCACAAACAACATCCTCGTTCTCAAAAGGTAATGTTGTGACAGCCACAAACAATGTCCTTGTTCTCAAAAGGTAATGTTGTAACAGCCGCAAACAATGTCCTTGCTCTCAAAAGGTAATGTTGTGACAGCCACAAACAATGTCCTTGCTCTCAAAAGGTAATGTTGTGACGGCCACAAACAATGTCCTCGCTCTCAAAAGGTAATGTTGTGACTGCCACAAATAATGTTCTTGCTCTCAAAAGGTAACGTTGTGACAGCCACAAACAATGTCCTAGCTCTCAAAAGGTAATGTTGTAACTGCCACAAACAATGTCCTTGCTCTCAAAAAGTAACGTTGTGACTGCCGCAAACAATGTCCTTGCTCTCAAAAGGTAATGTTGTGACTGCCACAAACAATGTCCTTGTTCTCAAAAAGTAACGTTGTGACTGCCGCAAACAATGTCCTTGCTCTCAAAAGGTAACATTGTGACTGCCCCAAACAATGTCCTCGCTCTCAAAAGGTAATGTTGTGACAGCCAAAAACAATTTCCTTGTTCTCAAAAGGTAATGTTGTGACAGCCACAAACAATGTCCCCGCTCTCAAAAGGTAATGTTGTGACTGCCCCAAACAATGTCCTCGCTCTCAAAAGGTAATGTTGTGACTGCCACAAACAATCCTTGTTCTCAAAAGGTAATGTTGTGACAGCCACAAACAATGTCCCCGCTCTCAAAAGGTAATGTTGTGACTGCCCCAAACAATGTCCTCGCTCTCAAAAGGTAATGTTGTGACTGCCACAAACAATGTCCTCGCTCTCAAAAGGTAATGTTGTGACTGCCACAAACAATGTCCTTGTTCTCAAAAAGTAACGTTGTGACTGCCGCAAACAATGTCCTTGCTCTCAAAAGGTAACGTTGTGACTGCCCCAAACAATGTCCTCGCTCTCAAAAGGTAATGTTGTGACAGCTGAAAACAATGTCCTTGTTCTCAAAAGGTAATGTTGTGACTGCCACAAACAATGTCCTCGTTCTCAAAAGGTAATGTTGTGGTGGTTAGCTAAGTTTGTATTATTTTCTGGGCCACTTTTTGTTTTCTTCAGTAATAAATATTTGCGTGTTACGTGTGTTAAGTAGATTGTTATTTTCAGTGCAAAAAACAAACACACTGACACACAAAACAAAAACATGTCGAGCTCATGCTTCATGGAGACTTACTTCCGATGTCAGAACCAATGACACGTGTGGCCCAGGTAAATCTTTTGATCTGTACCGTACATGAGGATATCAGTTTCACCTGCAGGGCACTTTACCTTGTTCTCAACGTGTCTAGCAAATTGAACATCTCGTGTGATCGGAGGGGGGCCTACCTACCTACCTAACGGTCGAAGTTATTGCCGGTCACGCTGGCTGAAGTTGGCCTAGTGGCCGCGATCCAGACCAGTCGCTTGGACAGTGCATTGGCGTGTTGCCTTATTCTAACGACGTGCGGCTTTAATAATAGCATCAGTGTACCAAGTGATTTATTTGTAGGTGTGTTAAGTCAAGTGACTTCAAGATGTGGCATCGGTGATAGCATTCTGGGTGAACCGAAGATACGTTGTTTTTTTAATTTATTTTTTCCCCCCACTTAACATTTACGGCTATTTTGAGAACCTCTCCGATAAATGTTTTATTATATTGTGCAGTGTAGGGAGAATTCAGCAAAGTTTTATATATACTTCAGGACATACTGACAGCTTCGCCGTGTCTGTGGGCAGTACGATCTCATGGTATATCATCGTGTATTGTTCGATAGGAATTAGTTGCGCGGTGTATGTTTGATAGATTGTTTTATAGAGTAATCACTTGATTAGAAACTACCAGATTCAAGGGCTCTCAACTGACTTAATTAGAGGTGTCGGAAGACCCAGAAAATCTGGGTTATTGGCTTTTTTTTTTAATCGTGAGGAAAGTGTTGTTGTTTTGAAAAAAAAACGAGATGGATGCCCGGGAAATGTTTTGTAATCACAATATTACAAAACAAAATGGTGGTGTTTTTTTTTTCAATAGCACTAAAACATTACGGTTTCGCGATAATTTTAAAAGTTAAATTTGAATTGTTTTTTCTAAATTGTTTTTTTTTTTTTTGTTGAAAAACTGAAGGACATTAATTAGAATTTTAGCGGCTAGAGATCATGTGTAATTTTAGATTAACAGTTTTTCAATAGCACTAAAACATTACGGTTTCGCGATAATTTTAAAAGTTAAATTTGAATTGTTTTTTCTAAATTGTTTTTTTTTTTTTTTGTTGAAAAACTGAAGGACATTAATTAGAATTTTAGCGGCTAGAGATCATGTGTAATTTTAGATTAACAGAAACGCTGAGTTCATTCATATTGTAAAATAATTGTAATGTGTGTAAGTTTTAAAAAATATATATTTTTTTTTTTTACATATTAGTATTACATTGATTTTGCAGACGAAAGTGAAACAAGCCAGCGTGCAAATTAGTGTTTGAAATGCGTGTAGGATCAACTTTGTATTTCTAATAATAGATGGTCTGGCGAATAGTGGATGGGTAGGCTTTGGACTTGGACACCCCCCCCCCCCAAACTGTGGCCCATTGTACGGTGTCTAGGGTTAGGTCCCCTTCGCATTGCCGTCATTTTTTGACGCGTTAATTAACTTATAGCCAGTCTTTGTCATATTTACATTCTTTTGCTGCCCTCTCGGATCCTACTTCTCCGCTAAGTGCTATTTTTAATACATTTATTTATTCTGTTGTTTGTTCCCTGCCGAAGGCTTCCTGCCGGCACGCTCTTTGTTTTGTTGCGTTCATTTTTTTTTCAGGTTTGACCATACTTCGTTTTCTTCTCTTCTTCTTCTTTATTTTGAGGGCCCACGATCAATGAATTGATCATTCTGGCTCCTATGTTTCAGTGGGGTTCGCGATGTACCTGCATGTGCATTGTTTTTGCAAGGGCTTCTCGACAATGGTATTATGAACTGGGGGTTGGAAGACAGGAGCCAAAAGACGCAAATGTTTCAAGTGTAGTCGCCTCAACTGTTGCTTTTGGAAGCCTGTTCCAGTCCCTTATTGTCTTTGGTAGGAATGAGGCGCTCCTGTACTGAGTTATTGTTTTTATTAGCCGGAACTGCCTGTCGTTGTCTAGGGGGAGATGGACGAGTTTCTGTTTAATGCTGGAACAGTGGACCAGCCCATTTTTTATCTTGTACATCATGGAGAGCCTGGATAGTCGTCGTCGTTCTTCCAATGTTGACCAGCCCCCTGTTTCCAGCATGCTGCCAACACTTGAGGTGTTTCTGTAACGGTTCAGGACAAAGCGTGCTGCCCATCGCTGGACCGCCTCCAAACTGTCAATGCTCCTCTGGGAAAATAGGTCCCAGACTGAAGATGCGTACTCTAAAAGCTGCCGGGCAAAGGCTTTATAGTTTTTTTCTTTCACGCTTGAGTTGCTTATCTTCAGATTTCGCCTTAGGAACCCCATGGTCTTGTTTGCCCCGTTGCACACATTGTTAATGGGGTCGTCCCAGTGGACCTCTCGTTTTACTAATGTCCCCATCTTTGCATAAACGTTCAATAAATTCCTTGCCAATACACGAAACCAACAAGAACTGGGCACATTGGCCTCCGCTCGGGAGTCAGGAAGTATTTACGCAACTAAAAAACATGAGAAGAAAAGTTCCCCATTTTATCCACTCAACATCTTCTGTACAAAGCTTTCACCAAATTTAAGCAGAAAACAATCTTAATTTGGTTCCTGGTACTTGAACAAGTGTGTGTGTGTGATGAGCCGACATCCTCAACTAAGTTTTTTGTCTCATCACTTCCTACTTTTTCATTGAATCAAACATAGCAAGAGATGGTTTGTTGCAATATTTTAAAACGTTCCTAGGGTTTCTCATCCGAGGTCATCTTCACCAGAGGAGCTTGGCATAGAGATGAGTGGCTCGCGTTGTGTGTTTACTTTTTAAGCAGGGGCCTTGTATTTGTCCACAAGGTAATGACCTTTATTACTATAGTCACGGTTGAAATGGGTTGAAAGACTTTGACATTGTATGCTTGTAATTAGTTTTTGTAGTGTTGCGTTTGTTTTAAATGTGGTAAATTATAGATTTTTTACTCTTGTACCGCGCTTCGAGCCTTTGGGGATGAAGCGTGTTTTTGAAATACACTTTATTATTATTATTATTATATGTGTGTATGCTCTTGTCTGGTGTCTATTTTTTTTTTCTGTATTGTGTGTTTTTAACTTATTACACACGTTTTAACATCCTGCATTGTTTCAAGGATTCCATGAGCTATTTTTCTTCAGCTTCACCTATACTGTTTAATTTTCTTAGTTTCTGTCTTTTAACCTTTCCGAAAGCGTTACGGTAATTTCGCAGCCCAACTTGCGTCTATTTGATGCCATTCACAAAACGTCAACAATGAAAGATCGGACTGCCACCTTCGTCCCGGGGTATAATTTTGAGTGAGCCAAACTCGCCGCGATCTGGTCATCAATGTGTGTACATACTGCAATGGTGACAACGCAAAATATTCACCTGGTATTGTGATTGTGTCGCTATGCAAGCCATTGAAACTCTTCTCAGGAGAATCGGAGAAGAAAAGAACAAAACAAAAACATAACAAATTCGACTTTTTTCAATTTTTTAAATTATATAGAAGAAAAAAAAAAGAGTACGCAGCTATAAATTGGAGCGCGACTCAGAATCCTGACGTCTTAAACTGTTTACTGTCGTAACTTTTGAACTTAACGGATTCTTCTTTCAGGACCCGTAGCAATTAGGACCAAACTGCAGGGGTCTGTGGTCGGAGCTTTCCTACTCTTAGATCAACCCCGCGTCTTTGTAAAACAGGGTTTGTGATTTGAAATCCAGCCCTTGAGTGTTTAATATGATCGCTCAGCCAACCAGTCTATTACTTTATGGTATATCATTATGGAGTATTATCACAATCCTCAGCAAGAATAATAATACGGAAATGCCCGAGTGTGTAACACGTACGAGAAGGGCGATGCCGAGGAAAAGCGACCGGGGTGATACCTAAAAAATCGACCCACCTAATGTATAGAAAAAAAGTGACGCCCGCGGTGGACCAGTAAAGAGACGATTGTGGCGTCCCTTTACTTTGTGAAGTACTTGGGATTTTATCGTTTAAGTCACTGTTAGAGTCATATATAGAGACGATCTTGGCGCTCACCAAATGTTGGCACTCCCCTATGTTAGCACCCAGGGCGAGTGCCCCGATCAACCCCCTTCCTTTTTGCACGACCCTGTGTGTGAGTCCCTGTCACACGTTTGACCTTACACACATCGTGGCACATGCGTTGTTTACCAACGCTAGAGACTAGGGTAATAGTAGTCACCATTTTGGTAATGTTTCCATGAATTAGATCTGGGGTCTCAAACTCAAATCATTCGGGGGGCCGCAGGAGGTAGAATCTGAGTGAGACTGGGCAGCATCAAGTATTCCACACAAAAATTGATTACAAATCAATAAAGTACAATTGCTACAATCTGCTCAACCTTGATTAATACCAAATAAAAACATTAAGGGTTCTCAAGAACTAGACTTCACTTACTTCCTCCTACTTCTTGTTGCCAGAGACCTGGCAGCACTTCTTCTTATACAACTGAGCAATATTTGGCTTGAGTAAGGAAGCAACTGAGATCCTCAGTATAGCTTGAAGATGCTCATCAGTAATTTTGGCCCTGAACTTTGACTTGTTAAAGTTTATAGTGGAAAAGAGATTTTCACACAGATAGGTACTCCCAAAAAGACATATGATCCGCTTGTACAACCTGGAAATCTCAGGGAAGGTGGAGGGCAATGCTCTCATCAATTGTCCATGCTTGTATGTTTTTCCATTCACCTCCCTGAACTTAGAATTGCACTGAAGATCAATCAGATCCATTTGAAGCGGGGGAAAACAAAACAAAAAAAAAGTGGGGGTTGCGGTATCACCACATTGAAGGTGAAAGGGTAGGCAAAATTTTGAAAAGTGGTTCTGTGTGTTTTGAAGTCTGCAAACCTGTGATCAAATTCTTCCTGTTGCTTTGCAATATCATCAGTATACTTACTACTGAATGGTGTGCCCGAGTCCATGAGTATTTTTCATGTTGGGATAGACAGAGGTTGCTCTGAGAAAGCTGGGCTTTCCATAACACAAGTTTTGTGCAGAATGCCCTGACATTGTCATAGGCAACACTGACAAGCTGCCCATGGTCTTGTAACTTCTTGTTGAGTACATTCGGCTCCTGGGTAATGTCAACAAGAAAAGCCAAGTCCGTGAACCGTTTGGGATCACTTAGTACACGAAGGCGTTAGTAGCTAAAACGTGTTTGAACAGTAAGCAGTAGCAGGCAATATTTAATGAATTATTGATACGAAGGAAGATGCTATTGCATGGAGAATGAATTTTAATTATTTTTTTTTTATCGTAGAAAAAACCATTGGACTAGCCCTATTTTAAAAGTGACCAAGTTAGCAGGCTCGGAATTGTATTCACTTGTCACTCGTACACACTAGCGGTAATTTTAATAGGAAATGTTTTATACTGTGTCAGATTGCTATGATTTAGAAAATTATGGTTGTGCATTACCCTTGAAATGACTTTTTCTCAAATCTGCACTTAAGCCATGTTTGTCTCATAAAATGCTGTAAAATAAAATCTTTTAGTCCTAATTTAAAATGGTTTTTACCATTATAATCATCGTCCAAATCTATACAAACATAATCAAAATCAGACTTAAACTAGTCGGTGAGATTCGACTGAAACTGTCGCGGAGACTCACATTATAGATATGAGAATGGGGGAAACCCGCGGGCCACTTTAACACTAAACTTTGCTGTCATTTAGTGGGCCGCAAAATGGCCCGCGGGCCGCGAGTTTGAGACCCCTGAATTAGACCAAACTAAACGACCTAGGGTAGATTTCATTGTAACTAGCACAAACTAAACCACCTAGGTGCAGATCTTGGTGGTAGTAGCAAATATTTCATTCTAACTTGCATTAACTAAACCACCTAGGGTAGATTTCATTGTAACTAGCACAAACTAAACCACCAAGGGAAGATTTCATAGCATCGACATCATAAGTGCGACCATGAAACGACGTCATAAGTGCGGGTGAACTTAACAATGGTAAGGGTCAGGGATTCGAGGTGGAAGTTATTTCCTATAAATGCCAAGAACCTCGAGGACAGCCAAAGTAAAGGATCAATGGCGCCCTGTTAAGCTGAGCTGGAAAATAGAGACACATGTGGGTGCAATTTAATCTAGGGGTGTTTCTCATCAAATCTACCGCCTTGGTGTGGGTGTGTTCATGCCTTGGTGTGTGGGTGGGTTCATGCCTTGGTGTGTGGGTGGGTTCATGCCTTGTGTGGGTGGGTTCATGCCTTGGTGTGTGGGTGGGTTCATGCCTTGGTGTGTGGGTGGGTTCATGCCTTGGTGTGTGGGTGTGTTCATGCCTTGGTGTGTGGGTGGGGTTCACGCCTTGGTGTGTGGGTGGGTTCATGCCTTGGTGTGTGGGTGGGTTCATGCCTTGGTGTGTGTGGGTGGGTTCATTTTCAGAGCAGCTCCCCCTACACACTTTTTTTCAAATGATATGACATTTGTAAGCCTACAAACTGCACACCATTCACTTTACAATTTTCATTAAATATGAAGCTATTAACCAAGCCAAAAATAGGGTTAACAAATTGGTCAAGTCTATAAAGTACTTGGTGAATTGAAATGAAATAAAAGCAGCATTTGCCTGATTTCCGATTTCCTTCTTTCTCTTTATCTTTATCTTGGCTCCCCCCCCCGCCCCCCCACCCCCAAAATATGTCATCTTATTGAGTCACAGTATTTCGGGCCAGTGAAAATGTTCTATCTAATTTTTCAACAAGCTCAATGGTTTACGTGTGAACTTGCTTAGCATGAGCTTGGTCACACTGCCCTAATGCGAGAAACTCACAGGCTGTAATATAACAGATGAGCAAATATATTTTCAGAGTTGTGGATCAGCAATCACTTCACATTTCACCTGATTGCACTCTTCACATTTCAGCTGATTGTACTCTTCTCAATTCAGCTGATTGTACTCTTCACAATTCTGCTGATTGTATTCTTCACATTTCCACTGATTATACTCTTTACATTTCTGCTGATTTCACTCTTCACATTTCCGCTGACTGTACTCTTCTCATTTCAGGATGATGATGACGTCTCGCCAACCAAGTTCTTGACAAAGTTTGAAGGTTTTGCCAAAACGCCCGGCCAGGACTCAGACAGTGGTGGCAGGGAGCCATGGGCCACCTATGCACATGACCAATCACTGGACAAGGTCAACAAGAGGAAAATGACCATGGTGAGTTTCTTCAACTATATAAGATGGCTGAGGGTTTGTGTTTGGATTACTTTAGCAGCAGACGTGAGATGTAGGCAATCAGCTATTCTGAAAATGAAACTGTTTGGGTTCTGACCATAGATTCATCGCCCATTTTGGCTGCACCACTGCCGGGTTCAGAAGAGTGGATAATGGCAATCATCCCCTGCCCAAGGGTTCAAATTTGTACAATCCAGTGAAAGGGCTCTTGTTTTTTTTGATAACCCTCCCATGAAAAATCCTAGATCTGCCCATGAGATACACTTGGTAGGAACTCTTGTCCAGGGCTGTAAGAGTCTTTGCAATAAAATCTTGCATAGGAGATAATATAAAAATGTACAATAAAATTGATTGCCCTTGCCATAAATGCTCTAACCACACTAAGGCATCCGCTTAGAGATGTATTTGAAAGACATTGACCGTTTTCTTTGGGTAAACCCCATCCTTGGCTACAGGTGAAGCAAAAGATCAACCAGGCCTACGCTGACTTGAGTTTGTCTTCAAAAGGCGTTGTGGACTCGCAGGGAGCAGATGACTGGACCTACGTTGATGAGGATGGCACAACAGGTAGGAGACGTCAGATCTGTTATGTCGTTGAAGTCATTGTGGTTGGCACTGTGATGGCAGGGCTGTTGTTGCGTGACTGTTGGAGCAGAGTGCGCCGCCCCTCCCCCCACCCCTGGGCCGGGCCACTTTTGTGCTTTGTGAAACCTGCATTAAAAAATAATAGTTGAAATTGGTTCCACTTGCAGCTGTGGGCATCTTAAATATCCCAGGCCCCTTCAGCCACAGGCGTTGTTGCAGTGCTGACACATGAGGGTGTTATGTCATGGGGTGGTAAGATGGCCTGCCTGTCAGCCAAGAAGTAGCTGGTTAGAATCAGACTGGTAGCCATCCCTAGCTATGGGTCATTAGTTGGGTGGATTGGACTGGTCAGACTGAGAACGGTAGTCTCATTAAGGGTGTAAAGGGTATGATACTTTCACTGGCAGTGGCATCAAAGGACTCACAAAAATGACAGAACTTGCTGAAGTCTGTTTCCTAACAGATCTAAGTTAAATACAAGAGCAGGCTTGACATCATGACCTTACCCCACAAGAGATTGTAAAATAAAAATATAAATAGACCTACCATGGGCAGCAATTGATGTACACCCCTGCACTTGCATTGTATAGTCTAACCTCTGACCTAGTGCCTGCACAATTCATCTTTTTAAGAGCTAAGTTTTATTACATTTTATTCCCTAGTGCCCCTATTATGGAAGACCTTCAACTGCCACATTTATTTATGATCTTCTGTTTAATCCAGTGTTTCCCAGCCTTTTTTGTGCCAGGGCCCAACTAAGCCTTTCTAAGATTCGTATGTCCCACATGTATCATGTACATAATTTTTAATATTCAAAAGTAGGTTGTTCACTGAAGAAACTTAAATGATAGGTTTTAGGAAGAAATCACTGGGAAATTGGTGAGGGAACGTAGTAAGAACATTTTTTAAACACTTAGTGGAGAAATGAAACTCACTTTTAAAAAACGCTATATTTTAAATTGATACTTAAACGATTCTCTTTTTAAAATACAAGTTAAATCATAGTAGACATTTGGTTTTCAAATTCTAGACAGCTCGTTTTTGAATTGTCCCCCCAAACAATCCAATTGCCTCTCCATTACCCATTTCATCTTCTTCCTCCCACCACATTTTGCTGCTTTACTGTTGATGGGATTTCTTGCCTTACTGTTTACAGATGAAGCTGTCATTGAGCCTACAGAGCTCAAGAAAAGGATTCAGTACTGTGCAACTGTCAGACTCAAATCAGTAAGTATCACTTCCTGCAACATCTTTTGGGGTTATTTTGACATTCCAAAATCATTTAAATTAAATGTAAAGCAGACTACTACCACTTGCAGCTAAACCAGTGGTTCTCAACCTTCCTAATCCCGTGACCCTTTAATACAGTTCCTCACGTTGTGGTGACCCCCAACATAACATTATTTTTTGCTACTTCATAAATATGTGTTTTCCGATGGTCTTAGGCGACCCCTGTGTGATCGTCGTTCGGAGCCTCGAAGGGGTCAGGACCCACTGGTTGAGAACCGCTGAGCTAAACTTTTAACACTAGATAACACAATTAATAAAAGTGAGCAGCCTGTTGGCTTTCCTTCAGTATTTCGCTTGTTGAATCTGTATCTGTTTCAGAGTGTGAGCATAAAAAAGAGCAAAGAGTACCTGGATGCCATCTACCCTCAGCTGTTTGAGTACTGCCTGTTGGTGGGACTGAGGAGCCTTGTTGATGTTAAGGGATACGAGGCGTATGTTATTCATAAGTTTCCTGAAAATGTAAGTAGAATACAGCTACTGTAATGCAGTTTATTTGGTTTGCGGTAGTTTGCTTGCAATGCCAATGAACTTTTCCCATACTATCTTGTTGACCAGTTAATTTTTGAGTTGCATACACTTATGATTTGCGTACACTGATGAGTTCAATGAGTTTAAATTGGTTAGTTGTCTAAGGGGTAATGAAAGGGTGACAGTAACATGGAGATTTCAAATACACAGCTGGTGAGACTATTCTAGAAGAAAAGAAATTTATTGCATGGATGGGAAACGCATTATAAGAAAGAAAATCACAGACACCCACAGAAATGAGTACCACTAACTAATCTAATCCACACAGTCATAATGAAGTAATAGCTTTCAAAAATGCTATGCACCTAGAATAAAAATAAATCTGGGCAAAGAATATCTATTGGATATTTATTTAGCATTTTCATTTGTTATATTTTTTCTATTAGCAAATATCCCCATCTGAACTATCTAGTACTACGCTAAAACCACAGAAAGGAACTTAATGGATTAAATCATATTTGGCCTGTCTCTGGGTAGAAACGACAACCTGTACTTATACTGGTCTATGGCATGGACGTACTCACTTGTATGTCTATGTCCCGCTTGTTAATACTGTGTGGCTTGATGCTATCCAGGGTCTCCATATGATGCTGTAGTAAACATTGATTTTAGGTCAGGCTTTGCTTAGGCGCAAGATGATGTGGCTGATGATGTAGCAGGTTTCTTAATTAAACTTGTCTACTAGGAGTCACCATCTGACCTGGTTGTGACTGACGAGTGGCATGTACTGACCACTGGTATTTTAGGTTAGGGAAAGCATTGGGGGGTGGGGGGGGGTTCTACCTAGCAGCATGAGCATGTAAACAATAACACAAAGGCATGGTACAGGAGATACATTTTTTTAAAATCCACTTGGTCTTAACAACTCGTGTGTTTGTAGTATCTAACTAAGTTGATGAAATACAAGGTTATATAACTCATAGGTTCACAACCATTGGTATATGGACTGGTGCCTCTCTGCAGAAATTTCCTGCTGGCCTGCATAACTTTATTTCAAGTAACGTTTGCTTCTTTAAAAGTTTCAAACATTCAGATGTGAATTTTTTTTTCCAGCTTTTTCTATCATGAAAGAAAGAAAAAGGAATAGAAGATATAAGTGATATGTTAAATATAATTGATATCATGTTAAATGTAATTGATAACATGTTAAATGTAATTGATATGTTAAATAGCTAATGGGTTAAATAAAAGATTTTCTCGAAGTCATGTAGTACTTCCTGTTGTGAGTGTTTGATCAAAGTCTTTACTACTGTAGGCTGTAATTTATTTATATGTCTTTATTTATATCTTATATATACATTTATTAATGAGGTTTAGAAGAATCAAGAAATATATATCCATGAGGTGCTGACATCACATCTTGATTATTCAGAAGACATAAGAAACCAGTTGCAGCCGATAAAAATTTGGGCAAAAATATTGGGGGGGGTAAATCCTGTCTTGGATAATAAGATAAAATAATTTCAGTGCGTATGTCAGCCAAGTTTAATTTTGCCCAAGCTTGAATGCACGTAATGATTGCTATAAGTTGACATCATCTGTCTGATGAGTGGCACCATATTTAACATGCAGCTGCATTACAAAGTAGGATCACAGGGTAATATTTATAAACCAACCAAGGAGGTAAATCTGCTTGTTCATTCGTGTAATTTCCAGTCTTTGTGCATTTTAATTTGGCCAGGTTTTAAGTACCCCTAAAAGAAATTTCGATTTAATTTACGCTGCATCTATAGTTGACACCTATCTTACAGGTCTTGCTCTGGGTGCATCAAAAATATTAGTAGTTGTTGTTGTTGTTTTTTTGTTGTTGTTTTTTTTTTTTGGGGGGGGGGGTTGTATTAGACTCAAGTAATGAATAAATAAAATTTTTCCCCACAAAGCATGCTCTATTTAGTTACCCCCCTACCTGAAATATCTTGCTCTGAGTGCATCTAAAATAATAGTTTTTTGGGGTTTTTTTTTAAGGGGCTAAAATAACGAGGTCACAAAATATTTCCTCATGAAGCATGCTTTTCAGATTTGTTCATGTTATTCTAGGCTCAGATTTAATGATTGCTTTTAAAATTATTAAATGTTCATTGAATTTGTCTATGCTTTGTCTGAAATGTGACCTTGTTTAGTTTAGCACATCCTACACATCTTTTCTGTTGTGTCTTCTAGTATCTTGATTTTGGAGTGGTATGTTTATGTCAACAAATTATTCTCAGATAATTTGCTTTATTCATAATACTTTGGGTCATACTTTTTTTTTTTATAATAAGCCTCTTACCTTTGGCTCTTGGATCCTGGAGTAATTTTAGGAACCCATTAACATTTTTCCATTAACAAGGCTCAGATCATTGTGCCAAAACACCAATATGTTGCTCTTCCTGATTGGGGTCTCCCAAATTATGGGAGAGGAAAAAAATGGAATTAAAATGGAATTAGCTTGATCACAGGCCATTAATATTTCAAATTGGTCTGACCAAGTCAAAGATTTGAGAAACCCTTCATTGGATCTACCATGATATAACTATATCTATCTATCCATACATATATATATATATATATATATATATATATATATATATATATATATATATATACACAGTATTATATATCTCAGTGTGTGTTTGTTTTTTTCAAAATACTCAAAAAATATATTTCAAATTGGTCTGACCAAGTCAAAGATATGAGAAACCCTTCATTGGATCTACCATGATATAACTATATATATCTATCCATACATATATATATATATATATATATATATATATATATATATATATATATATATATACACCGTATTATATAGCTCAGTGTGGGTTTGTTTGCTTCAAACTACTCAAAAAAGACTGGACGTAGAGTGTTGAAATTTTGCACAGATATCTATTATCCTAGAATCAGAATAGGCTTTGTCATATTTTTTTTCACCTGACCTCAGGTTGGTCATGTTGGCCAAAATTTGTGGTTTTCATTATATGAGCCATACAAATTCCATGGAGAAGTGTCATGTTTTGCACTGTGGCTAGGTCGGTCATGAATGTACAATATAAGTGCATTGTGTTGAGTGTTAATTTACTTTGACGTCTGAACTTTGTGAAAAGTATCCTTATTGAATAATCACTCATAGACAGGGGTGATCAACCTTTTTTTCCTAAATAGCCACGGTTGTGGTGAATGGAAAGTAAAATACACCACACTATAATATATAAATCATTAAACATTGCTATTAAATAAAATTAAATGAAGAGATAAGCTGATTAATCATATTTTAACGAAACTTAAATGTGAACTTTGACCTTCCTTTTCTTGAACAAGCTGCACAACTTTTAGTTCCATTCTTTTACTTGCTACTCAAGGTGCAGCTCATCGCTGCTTCTAATTACTCCAAACAACAATAAACTCGAAATATGTATTTTGGAATGATGAACCCTCTTGTTCAGTGGTTCTCAACCTTCCTAATGCAGCGACCCTTTAATACACATCCTCATGTTGTGGCGACCCCCAGCTCCAAAACTATTTTCTTTGCTACGTCATAGCTGTAGAGCATATGTGTTTTCAGATGGTCTTAGGCGACCCCTGGAAAAGGGTCATGCGACCCCCAAATGGGGGCGCAACCCACAGGTTGAGAACCGCTGCTCTTGTTGCTATTGCTGATTCACAGAATGAAAACAATCCAAACACTGAAAATACTTGTGAAATGCCCAGTTTCAATATCACAAGATTTCTGTCAGCTGTAATCAGTATCTCCTCAAAAGTTGTTTTTTTTCTTTTTGAATAGAAATGTAATGTTAATAAAATTGTAGCAGTCAGTAGGCAATTTTCTTATCTACATTAAACTTAGAAAAACTATGCGATTACCTTTTTTTTGAATAACAAAATTTTTATAAACTTAAAATATTTTGAGAGTCATTTTTAATTTTACTTTCAAAAAAATATTTTATGAGTTGATTCCATGATAATGACTTTATGTAAAAAACATTTGGTAAATTTTTTATCATTTAATAAATTATTGTTAAACCATTTCTACAATTTGAATGAACTAAAATGATAATATTGAAGTGATATGTAACTCTCATTAAACATACTAAAATCTTATTTATTTTGTTAATGCAAACAAGTTGACAATTTCATAGAAATGATTTATTTTTAGAATAAAACACACCTTTGGTGAGATTGGATACATTCAAGTATAGTATTTAACCACATAGAATGCGAGGAATTAATGGAAAAAATGTTACTTAAAAATTAGGGGTTTGCATTATACATGGCTGGGCATATCAGCAATGTTTAATTAAACAATATGTACACTTCTAATAAGTTCTATGAAAACCAAATGTACTTGACCTACTTGCTTCATATACGTGAATTGTATTATACATGGTAATATATGGTACAAAGAAGCCAAAAGGAGCACAATGAAAAAAATGAGGGCATGAAAGAATAACAGCAGGCAACTGCTCTTTAAATTATAAATTTAGCACAGGCTATTTCAGGTTGAGGTATTGGAGCTGCAAGTTCTTTTATTTACATACAAATGAGCTGTATTAATAGGCCTACTGTGAAGGCTTCTATGGGAATTGATGGGTCTGTCTGACACTTAATAATCTTGATAAACACAACGGGGGGTTATCGTTTTCCTGAAAGTAACATGGGCTAGGTCACTTACTTTTGGTGCAACAGACCCAATTTTAGTAATTTAAAAGGCCACATCTCTGGCATTTTTAACCTCTATTAATGAGAAACCTTTAAAACGTTACCTTGAGTATTTATTCAAAGGATTTGGTAAGGCCCCATTAGAAATGATAACTTTGGTCTATGCTATGTTCCTTTATTTTAAGGCATGAGGCCCAATTTATAAATGGAAAAGGCTAAATCTCTGGCATTTTTTCCAAACGGTTTTAATGAGACAACTTTTAAAGATTACTGTAATATTTTTCTTAAGGGTCTTGATAGGGCTAGATCTTTGAGTGAACATTTGTGCACCTCATGGTTATGGGCCATTCGTGACAGTTATCCAAGAAACAATTTTTGAATGTTAAGGTTAGGGATGTTAATGTAAATCATTTTTAAGTGATAGATTGAATGGCGCCTTATTGATCGAACCCTAACCTGGGCTTTTGATAATATTATGTACTTTCTTTATTCACATGCTGTTATACAAAATGGCTTGGTATCGGGAAAAATTAAGGTTTTTTAATATCACAGCATGTCCAGATATAGCTCTCTTACATAAAGAAACATGGGCAATTTTTTTGGCAGGGGAACAGACGTAATTTTTCTTTCTTAAATTATTTTTGATCTAACAAAACCTTTTGAATATTTTTTGTCTTTTTTAACCAACTGTCCATAACATATCTCATACTAAATCACACCTTTCCACCTTGACAAGTTTTGACCTATCTACATTAATGTATTGGCATCCTCCCCCCCCCCTCCCCCCTGTTCAATAACACACAACTTATCTAAGAGTGGAGGATGTATGGGTAGCTATCTATTGTACTCACTTTTCATATATAGTCTTTATAAATGCAAGAGGCTTTACACATATGATTTTTTTTTTTTCTAATTTGGTTATAACTCAGCTCAACTATTAGAAAAGTTATTTGGAAATGCTATCAGTTTTGTAGTAAACAACTCCATTTTAACAAAATTTAAGGCAGATATTGATAATGATTGAGATGTTCATTAAACTGTACTCCTGCTTCTGGTTGTTCTTAATCAGATGCACTATTCCTGGAACATAAGATATTATTGACATTTAATTTTACATTAAAAAAATTATTATTATTTTAAGCTAAAAGTTATAATTATTTTTTTTTAATCAATTAAATAGTACTACTATTATTAATAATATCAAAAAATGTTTTTAAATCTTTTAAGGCTATTTTAAATGGAAATATTTATGAATGCTGAATAATAATATAGGGTTTAAAATTTAAACTCCACGGCGTTGATCAATTTATCTATAATTGTAGTATCGAAGTTGTTTTTTAAGAAATAAAAAAAATTACATATTTTTTTAAATACGCTCTGATAATATCCAGTAATTATGTATAACGTCAATGTTCATTTTAATTGAGAAATGCAATTAAGTTTTAGAAATGTATTATAGGACATGCCTTAAGAAAGACCCAACTTAATTAGGGCTTCAGTTATTTCATGGCAGAACTTATGAAAGCAATTTTATAGATGGCTCCTTCTATTTCCTAACTCAGGTGTCCACCAACTTGTCCATCCCAAGCTTTTGCTTTCCTGACGCTTCCATTTTCAAACCAGGTTCTGTTTCTGCAACCAGGTAAGAACATTTTTTTTTAAAGATCTGAGTCAGTAAGAGTTTGGTGTCATCTATTTTTAGTCTTATCAGACCTGTCATTTTGCTTGAAGAGGTTGATTTTTAAAAGCCATTGATCCTCACTCCCAAAATTTGATAAATTCTGTTAAGTCACGTAAGGAAGAGTGACTTGTGATCCATTTATTATGTATTTATTTAGGCAATGCAGTAATTTTGCATTTGTTTCACACCTTTTACAAAATGCCTTGTTATTGAAAATAATATACCAGCAAATAATGCTTACATTTATTAAGTTATAATACAAACTTTTTACACTGATACTTTTGAAATTTTAAAATAAACTTTTTTTTTTTTAAATTTAGCCCACTAAAAATGCATTTTATAAATATATTTTATTTTGATATTAGTGCATGCAGATGGCAATATCTGAATTATTTGTTTGATTAAAAATTTAGTTTTTTAAAAAACATGTTCATCCTAAATAAAACATCCATTTTGTCAGTGAATCATACTCCTTTGTAATGACTTATGGTGATGGCTCTCGGGTCTATGGCTACTGTCGAAGGATACAGGTGAGAATATCAATTTCGACAAAGTGATAAACTATTTTACATTAAAGGTATTAGATGCTTAGGAACAAAGCTAGCTACAGGTTATGTCTAAAATTTAATGACATCATTGTTCTCTTTTGTGAAAAGCCCCCTGACGTCAGTCTTCCAGAAGTGATATGCATCATCAGCCCCATTGACGCTTTCAACATGTACAATGAGGTGAGTCATTAGAGGTTGAAAATATGATATATATATTCAGGTATTTTTATGTCACCTTTATTCTTATGCTGAGGTTCTGGTTGTCTCTGTACTTTCTCTGTCTGCTCTTGATGTGCATCCACAGAGCTTTGGTACCAGTATGCTATCTTTTCTTTACATATTGCATAAAAGTTTACATATTCTATCAGAAGGCAGTAATGGAACTCTGTAAAACAAGATTAGCAATCCATACAAGTCTTTCTCTCCATATACATTTATAAATATATATACATTTACATATGTGCACACGCACATGCACACACACACCTGATGTTGCTTTTTGTTGCTTGACAGTTTGCATTGCTTTCATTTTGAACTGTTTTGTGTGTGTCTTATTTTCAACCCAGCTTAATTTCCAATCAATGTTCTTCAAAACATGACTAACAAGAACTCATGATATTTCCCTCAGTACATGCACACACACAACACAGACAAGGATTATCACCCCGACAGTGTCCACCCTAAAAGTTGTGTTATGATTATGATAATCCATTAAACATTTGTTCAAATATTTTAAAGGCTTAATTCAGTTTGTAAAGGGGTAAACTGCACCTTCAGTTATTGCCGGAATGCTAAATGTAAAATTTTCTCAGTTGGTACACAAAAGCTAAACCTCTTGTTATCAGTTGTTACTTAAATTAAGTTTGTCCTTTTCCAGCTTCTTAATGAAATTGAAGCCAGGCGAAAAATGTCAATGGATGTGGCATTGGAACTCATTGCTGCATCATTTGGTCGACCACTTCCAAAACCTGGAAAAGTTATTCACATTAGAACATTGGTGAGTTGCCAGTTTATGTTTAGCACCGGTGGAACTGCATTTTTAAAATATTTGCTTATCAGCTGCTTTGCAGATTTAAAAAAAAAATTTAATTCACATATAAAATGTATGTAGAAATATGTTATAATTATAGAAATTACCAATATTAAATTTAATTTATAGAAAATTGTTTTTTCAATAAGTAAATATGGGATTAAAATATAAATTTCAGATTCTTTAAACTGGAATCAGCGGTACAAATAAAATGAATGTTCAATTTATGGCCAATTGCATTATTATATGAAAAGCCATATGATAAAAATCTACTATCTGTAAACACGAATGGTGTTTTAAATATTTTTGCATATGTACATTGCCTAGTATCTCAAAACATAACATTAGCTCAGATAGTAATTTGTATCATTTGAGGAATAATCAGAGCAGCATGGTAGCTCTTGAGAATCCCTTCTAGGTTATTAATTACATTACTAAATTCAGAAATTCTTGTTGCTTAGAGCGGTGGTCTAAAATAAAGCATGCATGAATTTAATACAATGATTTCAGTATCAAAAATCCTATTTTATCGTAAATAATTATTTAAATATATAATTAATTACCGACAACTTGTAGTTCAATCTTAACAAGCAATTGGAATAATGTTATCCATGATAAGGGAACTGATAATATTACATGGTGTTATGGAAAATGTAAAGAATAAGATTCAATCAAGTTGTAAGATTATGGAAATAAGGAACACAGGTCAGGGAGTACTTTAAGAAAAAAAAAGAATCAACAAAATGGAAATGTATTAAGGGAATTTTTTTTTTTTTTTAAATATATTTTATATCCGGACATTTAATTTAACTTTCTGACTATCTCTTCTGTTCTAAATTGTTGGTGAGTAAGACTTTCATAAGTACCGTCCGTTAAAAAAAAAAAAGAATAAACAAAATGGAAATGTATTAAGGGAATTTTTTTTTTTTTTTTTAATATATTTTATATCCGGACATTTAATTTAACTTTCTGACTATCTATCTCTTCTGTTCTAAATTGTTGGTGAGTAAGACTTTCAGCAGTACCGTCCGTTTACTTGTCTTGTTGTTTCAACCTTTTTTGTTCACACAGCTTAAATGAAGTGTCTACCATATTATTAATCAAGGGAAGCTCCTTCCAAATAGATTAGGATTTTGAATTATCATTTTAAAAAAACTTTTAATTTAAAAATTGATTCATTGCTTTATATATTTATTTGTCCAACTTACATATGTTGTTCCACTATTTATTTACAAGCCAGGCTGTCCAACTGGCTGTCTGCAATGGTGTGCGCAGCCCTTGGCAGTATACATTGCAGCCTGTGACTTATTAAACATCTTTTAAAAAAAACCAAAAAAAACAGAACATTTGACTGCAATATCTTTAAAACTTATCAGACTTAAACTGTGTCACCTTAATGTGTCAGATGTTATAATGTATGTATTCTATTGAATTATATATAAATAATTATAACCTTTTGATGTAATATGTTATTATGCTTGTCAGTGGGGTGTAAAGGCCCACTATGTAACATGAGTTTAAAGTTATCCAATCATAGCATAATCTGTTCAAAGAGAGGGCCTACCATATCTGGCAAAGGATTGAATTACTCCTTTAATTTCCAGTCAAAACATGATTCATTCAGTACATTTTGGGAATATATAAAAAACAGGGTATGTTAACATATTTAACTTTAAGTTGGGAATATAAAACACAGGGTATGTTAACATATCTAATTTTAAGTTGGGAATATAAAACACAGGGTATGTCAACATATTTAACTTTAAGTTGGGAATATAAAACACAGGGTACGGTAACATATTTAACCTTAAGTTGGGAAGTCTAAACAAGATAATGCTGGACAGAAAACTGACAGTGTGTAGATTAAAGATTGCAAGGCTAAAACATCCTTGTCCTGTATTAAAATGTCGATTCTCATCACAAATAGCCCTACCTTGTGCATTAGTTATTGTATTTCATTGTAAACTTTAGAGAAAGAAATCAAGATACACTTATTAAAAAACAACATGAGCTGTTCAAAGTGAAATGTACATGCATGGTGGCCTCTGAAATTTATTGTTCTACAAGCATGCTGAGTGCATGGCTTCAACAGCAGTTCTGAAGCCTTTTTAACCAATGTACCCCTGGACCTTACTGTGAACCCTTTTTAAAAAAAAAATGTACCCCAAGGACTCATGTGAAACCATCACATATTGCTTGTCAGTTTGTGATTTAAAATCATTTAGTAAGCTTCCTTTTATTAACCCTTGGGGGGTATATGGCCCCCTGTTTCAGAACCGCTGGTGTTGAAGAAGTCTTAAGCACTGCCATAGTGTAAACATTCAGTGCATGAGTTACAGCTTTAACAAAAGTATTTGCATCATGCATCATTTCAGGACAGTAAAATGGAAATGGAAACAATATTTTTGAAGCGTCCAGCAGACAACAGACTTCAGAATGTAAGAATGTTATATCATTTAAACTGTCGCTACATTTAATATGTTATATTAAAATAATTTTTAATTGTTAAAAAAAAAGTAAAAGTTTTGAATTAAATTATATTTAATGGAAGCTACTCTCATCTAAAGGATAATTAATCAAATTGATATGGCACACTTGTAAATAAAATTTGTTTACATGAAAGGATGCCCCTTTTATTCCCAATATAATCATATGCTAAAAAAATATACTTTACTTAACTTTTGTCCTGTTTGTAGTGTTAGAACATACTGACTTCGAATTGAAAAACATTAATCATAGCATTGTGTTTTGGTTTGTTTTGTTTATTTTACTCCTGCTTTTTTAAATTTTAGTTTTATTCATTTTTTTTTTACTTTTTATTATTTCATTAAGAGATGTGAATTTGCAAATTTTACTGAGTTAATGTGTTTGGAGGTAATATAGAACTAAACACATGGATATGTTGTCTGACCAGGTTTAAACTTTGATCAAACTGAATAAATGAGCAAAATTAGTTTAACATTTAAAATATACATTTTTTAATGTTACTTAGAGTTTGAGTTTGTCTTTGTGCAATTTTCAAATAAAAATGTGGAAATGCAGCCTTGAGTGAAGCCAAATTTCTACCAATACCTAACTATTTTATTCAAGTTCATTAAAAAAAAAATAAAATGATTGTTATGACGACTTTCAAATTGCTAGTTCAAAATGATGAATCTTTTTGCCTTTGATTTTTACCTCTGCCTCATTTTTAGGTTAACTACGAAAGTCCTTTGTATTACTTGGGCACCGATAAGCTAGTCAAAGTGTTCGCTGCAATGCTGATGGAGAGAAATATCATGTTGTGTTCTAGTAATCTGAGGTAAACTTTTACGACAAGTAAAGGCAACAATGGTTGAAATTATAGACCACCATTGTCCTAATATACATTATGAATAGTTGCAGTTTAAAAAATATATGTATAAAATTAAGCTTTGTTATTCAAACTTTTTTGCTAGCTATTATTTATTCTCTTTATAGTGTAACAATTTATTTTTCTTCATTTCTCCTTTATTACTTTTTTTTTTTTAAATCCTATGAGTGCCAGCACTAATCAAAACGGACTATCTGGCATCATGAACTTTTATGTACCACCTCCCCAGTGTTCTGACCCAGACAGTGCACGCCCTGGCCGCCCTTTTGTACCCCTTCCAGTGGCAACATGTGTACATACCGCTACTGCCCTCGGAGATGTTGGATGTTGTGTGTGCACCGATGCCGTACGTGCTGGGTGTGCTCTCAGCTTTCTTACCACAAGTTCTGAAAAAGGACCTCAGCCAGGTTGGCCTTTGCTAGTTCTAGGAGATTATTTTTTTGTTAAAGTGATAGAAGCTTGTAGTCTAGCAGGAAGAGTTTGACACACAGTGAAACCTCTTCATAGCTCAATAATTGGCGTCCATAATATAGACAAAATTATCATTTAGCCAAGAAAGCTCTGGATTCAGACAGTTGGGTACATGGGTAGCTGTCTCTTGCTGTTACAATCATCAGAGAGGCATTGGTGTTATAAAGCAAATGCTGTAGATTGATTTATATAGTAAAGCGAAAACTAGAAATATATTTATATTGTAAAGAAAAATCATCTCTCAAACAAAGCCCAATGATAAGTTTATATATTTTTTTATTTTTTAGGATTAAATTTTAATTGATACTGTCAATTTTTTTTTACAGTACATTTTAATTGTGGACTTGGACAAAAAAAGCATTGTCAGATGTGTAGGAGATGAAGCCAACCTCCTGCCAAGGAAAGTCCAGAGGGCCCTCAAATCTGCTATAAACTTGTGCAAAATTGACAACGGTAACGACTTTTGTGACCAGATGAAGATAAATACTGTTATAAATTTTTAAAAATTTGTTATTATATGAAGAATATGCTGTCGGTCATAAAGTCTTGTGACAAATTAATTAGTTAATCCGTTCTTATTTTAATGATGTGATGATGAGACAAGGAAATGGATTGCATCTCTCAAAGCAGAGACCATACTTTGCATCCCAGTCATAGATGACAGGTGATAGTTTGCAATAATAAGATCAATATTTATTTTTATTAACTTATAATTGGAAGATAATTGAGGTGAAATAGTTTTAAAGCTATTTTCATTTCCTTTAACTTAAAAAAACAAAAAACATAAGAGTTTATTTTATAACTTTATCACTCTGTTTTTAAATACAAATCTTTGCAGAGGCCCGCAACGCACAATGGCTGGTGGTGGCAGAAGCCTTTCTCCGAATGTTTATCGAGACTGTCGGACATTTCGGCACTCACATTCAGACACAACAGGATGGGGTCAGGATATTTCAGGTTTGAATAAGTTTTCTAATCTTACATGGTTTTCCAAGCACATCAAAGAGTGAGACTCATCTTCCATAAGAGCAGGGCCATACTGAAAGGGAGTTCTTTCTTGTGGAGCCTCAATTCATAATCTCATTTCTGTTGTTTATAAGTTGTTAAAAAAATGTTTAAAAAAAAAATTGTTATTGGAAAAATAGCTCAGCATATTTTAATTAACGCTCAACAACAAGTTATATAAAGTTTTCAAACTTAATTTCAATTATGTGAAGTACTCTCCATTTCAATGGAAGTTGTGGTGCAGTATTTTTTCCACAGTTTAACTAAGCTTAGCACAATTTGTAAATCTAGAAACCATCTCATTTAGAGAGATAGACCCCACCCACCCCAACCAACTAAGCTAGATATAAAAATTTAGCTTTGTAATGTTACACGAACCAAAAATAGATGCATGTTAATGTAATGCCCAAAGCAAACCGAAATATATAAATAAATGCACATTTGCTATTCGAAGTTAATAGAAATTTATACAGATTTATTTTTTTAAACTTTAATTTTGGTAGGACTTTCCCCATATTGTAACAAAGTATTTAAACGAGTCCCTGTTTTCTTGCCAATAGAAAGAGGCTTTCATCATGGAGGTGGTGTCGAAAGAGACTCGCCAGTTCCTTGAATGGTTCACAGAGACTCAGATGTTTGATGTCTTTATAAGCAACCATTTGGAGAAAACCGATTGTGGTACCAGTGGTATGTAGAGCTTGTAAAGTTGCTTTAAATGGGTATGTAGAGCTTGTAAAGTTGCTGTAAAGTGGTTATGTAGAGCTTGTAGAGTGGTTGTAGAGTGGTATGTAGAGCTTGTAAAGTGGTTGTAGAGTGGTATGTAGAGCTTGTAAAGTGGTTGTAGAGTGGTATGTAGAGCTTGTAAAGTGGTTGTAGAGTGGTATGTAGAGCTTGTAAGTTGCTGTAAAGTGGTATGTAGAGCTTGTAAAGTGGTTGTAGAGTGGTATGTAGAGCTTGTAAAGTTGTTGTGGAGTGGTATGTAGAGCTTGTACAGTGGTTGTAGAGTGGTATGTAGAGCTTGTACAGTGGTTGTAGAGTGGTATGTAGAGCTTTTAAAGTTGCTGTAAAGTGGTATGTAGAGCTTGTAAAGTTGCTGTAAAGTAATATGTAGAGCTTGTAAAGTGGTTGTAGAGTGGTATGTAGAGCTTGTAAAGTTGCTGTAAAGTGGTATGTAGAGCTTGTAAAATGGTTGTAGAGTGGTATGTAGAGCTTGTAAAGTTGCTGTAAAGTGGTATGTAGAGCTTGTAAAGTTGCTGTAAAGTGGTATGTAGAGCTTGTAAAGTTGCTGTAAAGTGGTATGTAGAGCTTGTAAGTTGCTGTAAAGTGGTATGTAGAGCTTGTAAAGTTGCTGTAAAGTGGTATGTAGAGCTTGTAAAGTTGCTGTAAAGTGGTATGTAGAGCTTGTAAAGTAGTTGTAGAGTGGTATGTAGAGGTCATAAAGTGGTTGTAGAGTGGTATGTTGAGCTTGTAAAGTGGTTGTAAAGTTGTATGTAGAGCTTGTGAAGTTGTAGATTGGCTCACTTGTCTCCATAGTCTTTGCTCATGAAACCAGTAAGTGTGTGCTCCCTTTTTTTGAAATCACAAGCTCATATTTTAGAAACAATTATAGAACATCTCAACACAAATCAGTCGTCTGATTTTTCTTGCAGACTTGTTCATGCAGAGGTTAACTGAGTACAAACAATCAAAGGAAGAGTCCACACGCCACAGAGGTCTTGGAGCCAAAGTTAAAAACTTTGGGAAGGCACTGAAAACTAAACTCCAGGTTTGACATTTGTATTCACCAAAGGCTCGATTTCCTGACACCTGTACTCCATAAAAGGACCTTTTTGAAGACCCCCATCAAAGGATCTTGTTGATGACCCCCATCAAAGGATCTTGTTGATGACCCCACCAACTTAGAATATAGGATGCTGGATGCTGGAATGGATGAACTAACGTTTTTGGAAAGTTTGAGTTGAACAAATTCCTTAAGTCATGAATCTACAAGGAAATCGTTAATTCCTTTTTATGTATTTTACATTGTGTGTTAAAAAATATATTGACTTGGCTAATAAATTACTTCTAAAAAGTATCATCTATAACTATAAATAAAGCTGTGGGATTTTATTTTTCTTGTTTAAATATTTTTTTGATTGATTTCCAATTGAACTTCTAGATGAATGCATCAAAGTCTTAACAGAAAATTTTCTGATATACAAATTGCAAATCCCATATTTTTTTTCCATAGAAATTCTAATGGCCTTTATTTTCTCAATGTAACTGTAACATCTATTCCTCTGACTTTCAATTGATCCAGTTCTATATTGCATTGCATTTTAATCATGAAAAATTGTAAGACAAACATATCTGCTTGTGGAAGAGCTTTTGTTCACTACATTTTGGGAGGGGAAAGTTTTTGTGCATTTTTTTGGGGGGGGGGGGGGGGGGGGGGGGGGGAGTTAGTGTTTAAATTGAGATTTTGATATTTTTAAAAAATCTTGCCAGTAGCTATTTTTTTTAGTAAAATTTAAATTATTATTAAGATGTTGAATACAACTATAATGTGACACATTTCTTCTAATTCTATACATTAAGGACCCACGATCAATTTTTTATTAATCATTCTGGCTCTTATGCATGTAGAGGAGATTTGGAAATGTTTCTGTACCTGGTGTTGATGAGGATATTTCACTGGTTGCAAGGGCTACTCAGTGAGGGTTTCATGAACTTGGGTTGGAAGGCCTGAGCCAATAGACGCCAATGTGTCACGTGTTGTTACCTAGACTGTTCCTTTTGGAAGCTTGTTCCAGTCACTAGTTTATCAGTTTATACATTTTGACTATGGTTAATTATCGGCAAAGTCTAAATGACAACATATTCTGCCGTTCATGAAACGTATTCCATATGATGTCTATATTAAAGAAATGGATGTCTATACATTATAAGAAAGAAAGGAAAAAAAATCATCTCCCTTTATAACAACAGAATCTGTAAGCAACAAATTATGTGGGTTGATGTAGCTCATATGGGTCACAAAGTCATTGATATCTCTGTTTGTTATAATAACTTATCTACTTTCTCTGTTTGTTGTAAGAACTCATCTACTTCTATGTTTGTTGTAAGAACTCATCTACTTCTCTGTTTGTTGTAATGCATCTATTTCTCTATTTGTTGTAATAATAGCTCATCTACATATCTGTTTGTTGTATGCCTCATTTACATATCTGTCTGTTGTAATACCTCATTTAATTCTCTGTTTGTTGTAATACCTCATCTATTTCTCTGTTTGTTGAAATACCTCATCTACATCTATGTTTGTTGTAATGCCTCATCTACATCTCTGTTTTTTTTGTATAACCTCAGCTAAATCTCTCTTTGTTATAACACTTTGTTGAAAACATATGACTTAAATATGTAGCCTAAAGTGTTTTTTGTTAAAGGTTTCTGTCTTTGTAAATTTAAAAATTGAAATACATTTTTAATTCTCAAATTTTTCCAAAGCAATAGTGCTGGGTGTCTATAAGTTTTAACATTTCTTTTTTTCTGTGCTGCCATCTTGCTTCTTAACATAACGTTACTTGGATGTACTCAAATTTCTTGTATAGAAACTATCAACAGATCTGAACTGGCTAACTGTATTAAACGCCGTTACAGAGAATGAATCAAGGAGATCAAGCAGCACAACTTCATTCCTTGAAATCTTCTTGGAAAATTAAGCAAGTTGTTGTCAAGTTTGACCATTAGTCCCCCGATTTAATACTGTTCATTTTCTTATATTGTTGACTGCATGTTATTAGCCATTCCAGTACTATTTATGACATGATATTGAGAATATCTTTTATCATATTCCTATTTTGTCTCAATTTCTTCCTATTGTTTCTGCAGTTTATGTAAATGAATGTTGAAATGTATTTATTCTATCAAATAATGTCATTGAACCAAGGGGTTATTTTGTGTACATGTTTGATCTCAACCTTTTAAGTAAGTAGGTCAACAGATGGTTATAAAACTTTCAGTTAAGGAGAAAAGAAAAAAAATAAATAATTCGAATTTAAAATCAAGTTTAGAGAGGCAATTATATTTTATAATTTTTAATACTTTCTAATACTTGATATTACTATTTGTCTAAAATAAATGTATCTCTATTAACAACATCCGAATTCACTAGATCACTTAAAATCTTAATTAATTTTTTTTTTATGCGCATCATTTAAATGGTTCATAAGCCAGTGTTCCACTTATCACGAGGATCCAGGCCAACTCATGTGATGTTCCCACAACCCAACTGTCCTTAAACTTAAATGTCAACTTAGTTTGAAAGACATTGCTCACATCTGTTGATATGAAAATAGGCCAACACAACCAGAAGTGTGGTGGTTTCATTCTCTGTTAATTTATTCTGAGCAATGCAGCCTATATTATTTTTTTTACCAAACATGTGCATAGAGAAACATGTTACTTAGCATTTTTTTTTTTAAATTTTAGCCAGGATGTTATGAAATAAGTGTTAATGTGAAAAGTTTGCCATTGTTTTACTTGTAACCTTGTAAATTGATTTGGACATTGTTAGTTAATACTTCATTGTTAATATCACCTCCTTAAAAATGAAAAGTTTTGTGGCCCTTGTGCTCTGTCTTATTATTTCATATGCACAGAGCAGTGGTTCTCAACCTTTTGGGACTGGATCACTTGGAAGCCATGTGCTCCAATAATGGACCATAACTAGGTTTCTGAGCTACAGCTGGCTATTTTAAAGCAACACTTGGGGCTGGAGTTGTCAACACAATTTGGGGAATTCCCATTTAGAGAGTTCATACATAATGACATAAACTTTTAGGTATTAAAACTTACTTCTATAAAATTTTGGAATTTATTACTCTTCCTGGCAGATTACCAGTCATGGATCACCAGTCCTAGATTGAGAGCCACTGGCCTAGAGGGATTGTATTGATCCTGATGATTTGAAAAAATGCATTAAACTTGACATATATATTAAATTTACGACAGATATTATACAAACCTCATTAATGTAAAACTAATGATACTTTAATGTACTATAATCTTTTGCAATAAATGTTAAATTGGTCATTGGTCATTTCTATTATTAAAAATTAGAGGATGGGTGGACAATTTAAAAATTGGGCTCTAGAATCATTTTCAGAGAAGAATTGTTGTCTTTAATTAAAGGACCTGAAATGTGGTTTAGGGTTATGGTTAGGGCTAGTTGTGCTAACTTAAAAAAAAAGAATATTTGATCATTGAATCTTTAATGACATAATTCACCACAGATTTAAAGGCAAGTTCACAAACTAAATACTGTCTTTTATTTTGACACATTTCATTAATAAGCCCGGAGTGTTCATGTTATAGTATAAAGTTTGGCTAAACTTTTTTTTTGTGTGCTTAATCATGATTTTATTTATTATTCAAATTTTTATTACGTTGCTATTTTATTAAGTTTCTGAGCAAAGACCAAAGATTTAAACTTAATTCTATGAACTTGTATTCAAATATTTTAGTCTTTTCTCCTCTTATTAGAAAAGTCCTAGAAATCTCACCAAAAAACAATTTACCATAAAAACATATTTTAAAAAAATCATATAAACATGATTTTGAGATTACCAACCTCACATCTAATTTCATCTGAGTTCACCAACATTTTGTTTTTCTAAGAGGACAAAACGTGTATATATATTTATTAATTTTTTTGGGA